CTCACAATTTTTTATTTTTTAAATATTTTTCTTTTTTCACTACAACTATGACAGATGAAAAATTTTAAATACTAACATGAAGTGGTAATATTTTAGATTATTGAATTAAATAAAACACATCATTAAAACTAATTTCATCTGCTTCTTTTTACTTTTATTAAAGTGGCTCTTGAAAAATTTAAATCACATATGTGGTTCATATGAAATTTCTATTGGATAGCACTGCTCTGGATGATAGCTTCTTCTTCCAGAAATGACTTGAGTCTGGCAGGCAGAAAGGACAGGAGTAAATCTCTTTTATCCAACCCATGATGGAGTTAGTTGCTTAAAGCCGAGTTTCATTCTTCATGAGGCTTGGCCTATTTCTGATGATGCCTTACTCCTAGAATGTACAGCATGCTGAAAGTCCCAGTTCAAAGCTGAGAGTGTTTATTGTACTTTTCCCTTTGGCAGGACCTTACCTGCAAGTTTTCTCTCTCCAGCCCCATAAGCCGCTAAAACTCTGCTCACTTCTTAGCCTCTCAGCTACACTCTCTGCTATCTCAGTCCCTGTGCTGGAGTCAGCAAATGCCTTTGAGGGGAAGCAGTTCAATCATTAGCAGTCTGTTTTGGGGATTCCTTTCTCTTCTGGGTTTTGGCCCAAGTCAGACTTGGTAGCTCTTTTTCGTCTGTCAGTCTTTTGGTAGCAAGGTCATTTCTTTGCTTGATGAGGAGCAACAGTCTAGAGTGATCCTTTTGAACCAGAGTTCCCTGAGGGAATTAACTGAACGTCCTAAAACGTACACTCTGTCATGTACTAACTTCTGTCCTATGCATCTAGAATGTTGCCAGCTATGTATCCTTGGGGGAAATTTAGAAAATAGTCAAGTCATTTGTGTAGGGCTTAATTATCTCATGGAAACTGAGTTGAGAAATGCGAGTGTCAAGATCTTGTTAAGGTAACTTAGGTCACACGGCCATCAGAACCATCACACTGTGGCCAGGCCAGTAGATATTCTGACACCCCCACTCTGGAGCCTTGGCTGGAACCGCACCCCTGGAGCCACCTGGATGCCAAACGGAAATTGGCAGCTGTTAGAAAGGGAGAAACAGAAGTCGGACAGACCATAAATGTTCACCACCAGCAGTTATCCATAAAATAAAACGTAGAGTCCCGGTTTACACTCCAACATGTAAAGAGCTTAGAAGTCATCAGTCCCATTCCCACAAGAAAAACTGGAACAAATTCAAAAGCAACAACTCTTGTTAGATTCCTCAGAGAACTAGAGTCACAGGGCAAACTGCTGCTCCAAAAACGGGAGAGAGGTGGCTCACGGCTTAACTAGATTAGAAGCCCAGGAGCAGAAGCCCCCTGCTGGGGCCAGTACAGGTACACACACCGAGACTGCGACTGACAAGCTGGAGAACTGGTGTGAACTCGCTTGGGAATTAGAAACTCTGGGTTGAGGTGTGGGGAATCTCAAGAGGACCCTCACAGTTTCCTAAGTTTTACCTTCAGGAACACCACCAGATTCTTACTGTGAAGCTTGTAGAAGAATCCTTTTATGCTTCTGACAGGGGGAGGAGAAAAGCAACCCCTGTTAGACTCCCAAATAGGAATTCTGAAATATGCTCAGAGTATATTTCCTTAATAATGGCTGGCTCTCAAGGCAGATGATTTTACCAGAGCCTAACCCACTGTAGGTTTTTGTTTTGTTTTTGGAGACAGTTTTGCTCTTGTCACCTAGGATGGAGTGCAGTGGCGCAATCTCAGCTCACTGCAAACTCCACCTCCCGGGTTCAAGCGATTCTCCTGCCTCAGCCTCTGGAGTAGCTGGGATGACAGGCACGTGCCACCACGCCCAGCTAATTTTTTGTATTATTAGTACAATAGAGATGGGGTTTCAACATGCTGGCCAGGCTGGTCTTGAACTCCTGACCTCAGGAGATCCACCTGCCTCGGACCCCCAAAGTGCTGGGATTACAAGTAAAACCCCACGATAGGTTTTACCAGAGCCTAATTGACAAAGTGGGGGAAGAAAAATATCCAGCTCCCTCTAACCTTCAACATGGAGGAAGGGAAATACCCAACTCTAAACGTCCTGTCTTATTTAGGGGAGAGGAGAAAGCTGAGTAGCACTTGTGAAAGTAACAGTGCAGGGGTACTGACTCATCGTGAGACCTGAGTGAGACCAAGACCTAATCACAGGATTACAGAATGCTTTCCTTGCCCCTGCATCTCACCACCACATCAGCAGGGCTCCTATGTAATAACAGGATTACAATGGAAAGAACTGCAAGGCTCCAACCCTATTTAAAAAGGAATATCTAGAGAAACCCAAAGACAATAGGGAGAGAAAACAAGGACACTAGAGAAAATTTTACCCACTGATATCTATGGCTACAGCAAACAGTAAACACAGCCTAACTTCTGGCCATATAAACACAACACTTCCCACTAAAGGCCTATTTATCACAGTTCCCTTTACCCATTCATGATGTCCAGCATTCAACAAAAATTACAAGGCATGCTAAAAGGCAAAACACACAGTCTGAAGAGACAAAGCAAGTACGAGAACCAGAACCAGATATGACAGAGATTTTGGAACTATCAGCTTGGGAATTTAAAATAACTGTGATTAATATGCAAAGGGATCTAATGGAAAAAAGTGTACAATATGTAAGATGGTTAACGTAAGCAGAGAGATGGAAACTTTAAGAATCAAAAGGAAATGCTAGAAATCCAAAACACCATAACAAAAATGAAGAATGCCTTTGATGCGTGCATAGCGTGAATGTTTGTGCCCCCGTCATGTGTTGAAATCTAATCTCTAATGTGATGGTATTTGGGGGTAAGGCCTTGGGGAAACGATTAGGTCATGAGAGCAGAGCCCTCATGGATGGGATTAGTGCTTTACAAAATGAGCCCCAGAGAGCTCCTTTGTCCTTTGCACCATGTACAGATGCAATGAGAAAACAGCCACCTATGACTCAGGAAGTGGGCTCTCATTAGATACCAGGTCTATTGGCAGCACCTTGATATTGGACTTTCCAGCCTCCAGAACTGCGAGAAATAAATTTATCTTGTTTATAAGCCACCCAGTCTATGTATTCTGTTATAGCAGCCCAAGTAGACTAAGACAATGGCCTCATCAGTAGACTAGAGGTGCCTGAGGAAAAAAAAAAAAATCTGTGAACTTGAAGATATGTCAATAGAAACTTCTCAAACTGAAAAGCAAACAGCAAAAAAAATTTAAAAACTAAAAGAGAATATCCAAAAACTGTGGGACAATTATGAAAGATGTAACTTATACATAATGGTAGCCCCAGAAGGAGAAGAGAGAGAGAGAGGGACAGAATAAATATTTGAAGTAAGAGCATCTGAGAATTTTCCAACATTAATAACAGACATCAAATCACAGATCTAGGAAACTCAGAGAACAACAAAATAGGATAAATATCAAATAATCTACATGTAGAAATATCATATTTAAACTTCAGAAAATGAAAGTAAAGAAAGAAAAACTTGAAAGAAGGCAGGGGATGAAAAACTAACTTTACCTACAGAGGAAAACAAGGATAATCTTGGATGCTGGTCAAAGGGCAAGAAGTTTCAGTTAGGCAGAAGGAATAAGCTCTGGAGTTCTACCGTACAGCAAGACAACTACAGTTAATAATAACGTATGATGTCCTTGAAATGTGCTAAGAATAGATTTTTAAATGTTCTCACCACACATACACACGAAACTGTAACTATGAGGTGATGAACATGTAAATCAGCTCGACTGTGGTAATCATTTCACAATATATACATTTATCAAACCATGCCTTATAGCATAGGTACAATTTTTTTATTTCTTAATCATACTTCAATAAACCTAGAAAAAATTCAATGAAAATACTATAATTGTTCAACTTTCAGACTGTAAATTTGAAGATGCTATTTATCATAGCCCTTGATGGCAGGGATGTGGGTAAACAGATACTATCATAATCCAGTGAATATGTCAGCTGGTGCAAAAGTTTCGAAAATTAAGAGAGATGTGTGTATGCATATCTCAAAATGTGTATTTGCACATCATTTAATCTGATAAAGTTATTCATAAGAATTAATTGCAGGGAAACACTTCTAGAGATTTAGAAAGACAGCACCATAAGAATATTCATCACAACCCTGTTGTTGTAAAACAATTGAAAATAACCCAAATTATATAAATAGAGGTTTGATGAAATAAATTGTGGCTTATATGTTTAATGGTATACTGTGCCACCATTATACCAGCTCCATCTCCCAGGTTCAGACCATTCTCCTGCCTCAGCCTCCCGAGTAGCTGGGACTACAGGCGCCCGCCACCATGCCCGGCTATTTTTGTATTTTTAATAGAGATAGGGTTTCACCGTGTTAGCCAGGGTGGTCTCGATCTCCTGACCTCGTGATCCGCCTGTCTCAGCCTCCCAAAGTGCTGGGATTACAGGCATGAGCCACCGCGCCCAGTCAACATCCAGCAGGATTCTTATGTGGCAGTGGAGAGAAGAAAATGAAGGTGAAAGGCAAACAAATGAATGAAATAATCCATCGCACTAGGCCCATGGTTTTGGTTTTCTAAAAAACTTAACAAGTTTTTAACAAAACAACAATAAAACAAAACAAAACAAAGAAACAAAAAAACTTCCCCTATTCTGAACTGCAGGGAATCTCACGTCCTAACCAGAAGGAAATATTGCAGAAATACTCTTGGTCACTTAGGCTGTGACTGACCGACTGGACATTCTTTGTAGGATGTTTGTTACTTTCCAGGCACACGGAACTACAAGGCTTTAACTCTACCCAGAAAGTAGGCACAGCCAAAAACAGGGTAAAACTTGCCCACAGGGCTTGCCTGGTAGAACCTGACTTCACATTAACATCTTTGTTCATCTCTACAGAAATGATCATCATGCGGTATATATGATGCTTACTTATTTTGTCTACTTTTATAGCATGTGAGTTGCACGAGTGCAGAGACTTCTGTCCATTTTGTTCACCAATGCCTTGGAAGACTGTCCAGATCATAGAGGTAATCTAATAAGTATTTGTTGAATGAATAAATTATGTAGCGTTTCCTAGTAGGACAAATACGTAACACCGATCTTCAAGCATCAGGAGATAGGAGAAATAGTTCTGGCTGAATTTTTCCTGTTTACTGGGAAATTTTTCTCAGTCCAGAAAAGGCAGGAAAGGAAGGACCCCATCACCTCTCAGGTCAGTGATCTCCTCCCCAAAAATATTCGCCACAGAGCACCCTGAACATCAGGGTTTCTGAGGCTGTAGATAAGAGGGTTCAGCATAGGGTTGATAACAGTGTTGAAAACTCCAACCTCTTTATCCTTGTCCGAAGCCTCCTCTGAACCCAGTCTCATGTAGTTGAAGATACCTGTTCCATAGAAAAGACAAACCACAGTGAGGTGGGATCCACAGGTGGAGAAGGCCTTCTTCCGGCCCTCCACTGAACGGATTCGTAGAACTGCAGCTGCCACGTGGCTGTAGGAGGTGATGATGAGAACCAAAGGTGCACCTGCCATGATGAAACCCACAGCAAAGAGCAGCAGCTCATTGAATTGCGTGCTGGAGCAGGAAAGCCGGAAAAGCTGTGGGAGGTCACAGTAGAAGTGATTGACCTCGTTAGGGCCACAGAAGTTGAGTGTGGACATGGCCACAGTGTGGGTCACTGCGTTGGTGAAAGCACAAGCCCAGGACGCAGCCACCAACATCCTCTGGACTGTCTGACTCATGCGGGTGCTGTAGGTGAGGGGCCGGCAGATGGCCAGGAATCGGTCATAGGCCATGGCGGTCAGCAGGAAGCAGTCCATCCCAGCCAGAAGGTGGAAGAAGAAGAGCTGGGAGAGGCAGGCATCATAGGAAATGGTGCACTTGTGGGACAAGAGACGACCCAACATTGCAGGCACAGTGACAGTGATACATCCGACATCCAGCACTGATAGGTTCCCCAGGAAGAAGTACATGGGGGTGTGGAGTTTGGGCTCCACCAAGACGGCTGCCAGGATGCTGAGGTTGCCCCCAATTGTGACCAGATAGGCAAAGAGAAAGAGCACAAAGACCACAGACTGCATCTCTTCTGTTTGCACCAGGCCCAGCAGAATGAACTCAGCAACAGCGGTCCTGTTGGTCCCAGCTTCTGGCTCCATGAGTTCCTATAAGGACGTGTCCCAGCAGGGGAGGTATCAGTTCACTCAGTTCACATTAACGTTTTAAACCATTTATGTTCAAAGCCCCATGGCGAGTCCCCAGGCCATCCCTCACTCGTTGACCTCCTCCATCACCTCAATGCCTTCACTTTGCTCTTGGTTGAGATGCCCAGGGCCACTACTACCTTGTCCCTCTCATCCTCTGCTAGCTGAAAAGCTCAGAATACTTGGAACAACATGAGAACTACAGTTAATAAAATAAATTGCATTCAGGATTGTTGCTGAGTAGATTACAGCTGTCCTCACCACAGGGGGGAAATGGGTAACTGTGAGATGACTAATATGTTAATTTGTTTCACTACAGTAACCATTCTCATAACATCATGTTCTATACCTTAAATATAAACAAAAACTTTCTTTTTCTTTTAAAAAACACACAAGGCTTCCTCTATGAATACAGTTAGATTTAGATGAAATTTTCCTATTGCTCTCTGAGGGATTGTCCCAAACTAATAAGCAGGTTTCAAAATAGAAATCCAGAGAAACTAGAATGCATTTAAAACATAACCTAGGCTGGGGGCGGTGGCTCATGCCTGTAATCCCAGCAGTTTGGGAGGCCAAGGCGGGTGTATCATCTGAGATCAGGAGTTTGAGACCAGCCTGTCCAACATGGTGAAACCACGTCTCTACTTCAAAAATTAGCTGGGTGTGGTGGCGCGTGCCTGTAATTCCAGCTACTCAGGAGGCTGGGGCAGGAGAATAGCTTGAACTCGGGAGGTGGAGGCTGCAGTGAGCCGAGATTGCACCATTGAACTCCAGCCTGGGTGACAGAGCGAGGCTCTGTCTCAAAAAAAACAAAACGAAACAGAAACACGTAGGTTTAAAGGCTTCTAGACATAATAAAGGCCAAGCAAAGCTGTGGCAAGAATCAGCGAGAAGGTATCCATGATTGTGGATGTCAGAAAGACTAGTTGAGTACATTTCTCCAAGGTGAAGGACCGCACTCTGAAGCATCAATTCAACATTCCTTGTTCAATACATTGTTACAGTTATTGTTACTTAAGCCCCTACACTGGACTTTGACTAACGACCTACTGTGAAATAATGTTTTCTGTGTGTATCCTCTGCTGCTCCTCCCTAAAACCAAAGTTGTGATCACAGCCTGTGGGTCGGCTGCTGCCAGGCGCAATTAGATTCTGCATTGCACAGCCACTGTTCTTCCACTTGTCCTTGACTTATGCACGGTAGATTGACCAAGGGCTCTAATGATACGTCCTGAAATAGAGAAGGCATGTACTTGGAAAACCAGGTTGAAGTCGTCTTTCAGATTTTATATCCAACCCCAGATCAAAAAACATCAATGTCTCTATTGCACATGGAATAAGCCAGGCCAGAGGTTCTTTAAAAGCAATATTACTCCCTTGCATAGAATAGTCCGGAATCAGAGGACGGGAAGCAGCTGGAGGGGAACAGTGATGACTGCCTGAGCTGGGGCAGTGAATGCTTAGGGAGGTTGCAGAAATCAAATACACTGTAGCAGCAGTATGACTGATACGACTGCCTGGGGATACACGGTCACCAAAATGATTTTTAAATCCTTTGTTCATAAAAGTGGGAACTGAGTGCACAGGTTGGTGGCATGGTCTTAACTGGTCTCAACCAAGATCTGAAAAGCAGAGGAGGCAGGACTGCATGAGAAGCCATCCGGGCAGGCTGACTGTGCAGTGTTTAGGTGAGACTTTAAAAGCAAGAAGCCGGCATTATCAGCAGTTCCTCAGCCGCTGGTAAGCACTGACTAGGGACATCAAGGGAAAATGTACTCACAATCATGGAACAAGTGTCTTACAGCCAGTCTGAACCTTGGCTGCACATTAGATTTACGTGGGAGCTCTAAAAACTCCTGTCATCCAGAATTTACCCACAGGTCAATTAAATCAGAATCTCTCAAGATAATACCCAGGCATCAGGACTTTGTTTTGTTTTGTTTTGTTTTTGAGATGGAGTCTCGCTCTGTCGCCAGGCTGGAGTGCAGTGGCACAATCTTGGCTCACTGCAACCTCTGCCTCCTGGGTTCAAGAGATTCTCCTGCCTCAGCCTCCTCAGTAGCTGGAACTACAGGCAGGCACCACCACGCCTAGCTAATTTTTTTGTATTTTTAGTAGAGATGGGGTTTCACCATGTTGGCCAGGATAGTCTCGATCTCTTGACCTTGTGATCCATCCATCTCAGCCTCCCAAAGTGCCGGGATTACAGGCATGAGCCAGCGTGCCCAGCAGCATCAGGATTTTTTTAAGCACCCACCTGATCACTGCTGTCTTAGCATTTAACTGAGTGGATACTTCCAACGACTAGCTCTTTTTTGCCACTCCCTCAAATTAAGAGTTTTGTTTTGTTTTCTCTCATTTTACTTTTACTGATAACCCTGAAGGGAGAGGAGGAAATACTTTAAAAGATGACACACAGAAAAGTTACAAAAATGTAAGATATCTTGCAAAGGTTTGGTGGTATTTCCAGCCTTAATTCCCGACTCTGTTAAATTAGATACTCAGTCCCCCATGCTTACTGGAATCACCTGGAATGCTTTAAGAAGAACATAATGATGCTCAGGCCTTTCACCAATAATTTTGATTTAATTGGTTGAATTGGTGGTACCTGGGGACGGGTGGGCCTCAGCGCCTCCCAGGTGGTTCTAATTCCCAGCCAGGACAGAGAACTCTGCCAGATCTGCAGCCTGGGAGGCATGACGATGGCTTCCTGCTTCCCTCTTCATTGTTTTTCTTCATACAGGACACGAAGGCCACCAGCCCTTTCAGGTCACACAGCCACTTCCACAAAGACTCCTCCACCTAGGCTTAGAGTCAAGGTAACCTCAGCCGGGCGCAGAGGCTCATGCCTGTAATCCCAGCACTCTGGGAGGCTGAGGTGGGTGGATCACGAGGTCAGGAGATTGAGACCATCCTGGCTAACACGGTGAAACCCCGTCTCTACTAAAACTACGAAAAATTAGCTGGGTGAGGTGGTGGGCACCTGTAGTCCCAGCTACTTGGGAGGCTGAGGCAGGAGAATCACTTGAATCTGGGAGGCAGAGGTTGCAGTGAGCTGAGATTGTGCCACTGCACTCCAGCCTGGGCGACTCCATCTGAGACTCTGTCTCAAAAAAAAAAAAAAAAAAGAGTCAAGGTAGTCTCTACAGACTGACCTGCAGCTTCATGTGGATAGCATGCATCTCACTGGAGCCTCTAGAGCAAGGGCATGTCTCCAATGTGAGGCTATCTCAGTGACCAGCCTTCCAAATGAGGTCTCCACTGTGCGCCCTCAGGCCATGGGAAGCTGCAGAGGGGATGCCACATGGATGAGAACGTGGATGCGGTGATCTCCAAGAGGTCCTTAGAGTTCTAAGATCACATGACTTGGAGGAGGGCAGAAATCATCCTCTGGCCTGATTATCAATGATAGAGTTGGTAAAAGATAATGCTTTGCAAATCAACAAATCAAAGGGTGATGGCTCTTCATATTCTATTAAAGGATAGTTGACTACCTTCCTTTTTCCTGTCAGGTCCATTTTAACACAAGCATTGGATTGCAACCCTGTGGTTTTCCAGCTCCTTGCTCATGCTGTTTTCCCCACCTGCAATGGTTTCCCTCCAATGGCACCTGCCCAGATATTTCACAACTTGACTCAAATGCTGACTGATGAATTAATTCTTCCTTGAAACTTCCCCATCTAAAAAGAATCTCTCGGCTGGGCGCGGTGGCTCACACCTGTAATTCCAGCACTTTAGGAGGCCGAGGCAGGCGGATCACAAGGTCAGGAGATCGAGACTATCCTGGCTAACACGGTGAAACCCCATCTCTACCAAAAAATACAAAAAAAAAAAAAAAAAAAAAAATTAGCCCGGGGAGCTGGTGAGCGCCTGTAGTCCCAGCTACCGGGGAGGCTGGGGCAGGAGCATGGCGTGAACCCGGGAGGCGGAGCTTGCAGTGAGCAGAGATCACACCACTGCACCTCCAGCCTGGGTGGCAGAGCGAGACTCTGTCTCAAAAAACAAACTCTCCTCCCCTCCCCTCCCCTCTCCTCTCTCTCCTCACCCCCCAAACTGTCAATATACACCATTTCTTGGAATTTATGACTTTACATTTTAGGTGAGTCACTTCTTTATAGAGTCTGTCTCTATAAATGACTTAAGGACAGAATATATGTTTGATTCATTTTCAATAGCAATGGTCATAACACTTTACACATAGTTATCCAATATTTCATATTTCTTTTTTTTGAGACAGAGTGTTGCTCTTTTTGCCCAGACTGGAGTGCAGTGGTGTGACCTCGGCTCACTGCAACCTCTGCCTCCTAGGTTCAAGCAATTCTCCTATCCCAACCTCCTGAGTAGCTGGGATTACAGGCATGCATCACCACACCCAGCTTATTTTGTATTTTTAGTAGAGACGGGGTTTCTCCATGATGGTCAGGCTGGTCTCGAACTCCTGACCTCAGGTGATCCGCCCGCCTCGGCCTCCCAAAGTGCTGGGATTACAGGCGTAAGTCACTGTGCCTGGCTGGTACCCAATATTTCTTAAATAAATAAATGGATGGTTAAAATGTATACGATTTCATCGGTATGAGGTAGAGTTATCAAGGAAGACTTTCTGGACACACTGGAATTTGTCCTGGCCTAGTATGCTTTAGGGGAGGTACAGGTTAAGTGCAGGGTGCAAGGTTGTGGCAGGGACTCCTTTGTGTTAATGGGACAAGCAGGTCATGGACCAATCCACCTGCTTCTTTTTACTTAAACCTCCCAAAACAATACGGCCCTTAGGAGGGGCCACACCTTCCAGACAAGTCAGTCATGGTTGGGGTAGAAGAACCACTAAACAGCTGTTGCCAACCCTCAGACAGCTGCAGATGCAATTGTTTAAAACCAGGGGGATTCTGGGATGACCTCAGGTCACCCTGAGACACCCCCAGGGTCTGACAGGGTCCCCACGAGGCCCACTGGGGAGCCCTCCTGCACGACCACCCTCGAGGCTCCCCTTACGAGCTGTGACAGCCCCTGCTCTGGAACTCCAGCCCATCCCTCATGCGCCCAACATGACAAGGCTCAAGGCCTTCGCTGGAGTGAGGGTTCCCGGCTGCCTGATGCAGTGGGTGCCCGCAGTGAACTGGTCTGAGCCTCTCCCCACGCT